AATTGAAGTTCGTGTTTTTTTTATTTATTAAAGCTTCACATAAACTGAAAAAAAATAAAATTTTACATGAATATTCTTCAAAAACTTTATGTATGTTTATTATGTACGTTTTTAGGCAATTAATGTAAATAGGTGTCCAAATGCTTTTTTCCGAGTAGTGTATTTATTGGTCTTGCATATTTTTTGAAATCTCATTTATTTTTGTCAAATGCACCAACCTACACTTTTTCAAAAAAGCGAAAACTTCTACAGTCCGTTTTATAGCAATGCGAACTTTTGCTTTTTGTGTTACAAATCACGCCACCATGCTACGCGAGAACAAAAATTCATTTATTTTTTAATTTGCGTTTGGGATTGCATCTTCTTCGTCGCAAAGAGCAAAAAAAGGCATCACTCGGGCCAAGATACAGTAGTCTATTTTATTAAATCCAAAACATATAAATAGGACAGCCGTTTTTTTGAAAAACTTGAATATTTTCATGAAACAAAACCGGATCTTAATCTTTATTATCATCCTCAAAAAATGATGATTCATTGTTGTTTGCTACTTGTTGCTATAGTAATAATAATAATGCTTTCTCAAATTAAAAGATTGTGTTTTCATATATTGTCTAAATCATTATTAATATAACAAAAGTTAGAAAACAATAATGAGAAAAAAAAATTGTTGAAGAGTTCTTTGCTTTTTAATTTCTTCCTTCCCCAAGAAAACCATATAAACCATACATTTTCTGAAAGCTCTCGAGGTACTCTGTCTTATTATGCTAAAAGGATCTCAATAGAGCTGATTTCCGAAAATAATTAAGCTTCCGAAGTCAAACCCATAGGTTTCTTTGAGAGGCTATTGCCCCATAACTGGAAGAGCTACAAACGCATAAAGCTCGCGTTTTAAAGGTCAAAAGTAATTTATTGTTTTTACTTAGAGGCACAAAAATTGTTTAATAATGAGTTTATGTTCGGAGTTCCTACTCAAAAAGTTACAAAAGGAAAATATTTTAATATTGATTAATATTCTTGATTATTATTATTAAAGCCTTTGTTTATTTATTTTTATTGTGAAGAATTTTTAAGATAGTATGAATTAAATGACAAAAATAAGAACACGACAATCTCAAAAATGAATGAAGAGATAATAAAAGGAAAACTATTAACTATTAGTACCAGGTATCAAAAATTATATTAAATAGATTTTTTTTTTTGTCAATATTTAATTGATTATTTGTTTACATGTTAAAAATAAATATTTATTCAAAGTATGCTTTTACAAAATTAATGATGTAACATAATTTTATTCATATTTTATAGCTCCAATAATATTAAAATTATTTACAAGTAATAATGAAAACAATTATAATAATGAATGAATGATAAGCAGGTAAAGAAGTAATATATATATATACACACACACATACAAAATTTGGCATAGACTTTATTTATATCCACAAATTAATTTATAATTATAATATATTTCATGATACTATTTATTAATTTTATTAATTTTAATAACAAGATTCTTGATGAATGAGTGACAGGTTGATAACTCAAACATTTCATCAGTATATTTAACCATTATGAAAAAAGTTATTTTTATGGTAATTTTATGATTATAATTTGAAGATTATTTTTTGATAGACTTGTAAAGCAGTTAAAAATAAATGTAATACATAAATTTTGGAGGTTATATGACCATTTAATAAAGCCTTCGCCAAGTTTTCTTCATATTTATTAATTTATTTTTTCAAATAAAAGATCTGCATACAATTAGCCAATCATTTTTGTTTTGTTTTTTTTCTAAAGATTTCTAGATTGTCTATCCTTACAGTATTTGGAAATTCCATATTTGGTAATAATTCTGACTG